TATTGGTAGCTGTTGATCAGGTGATCTGTTCACCGAGCTTGGCAATTTGCTTGTAAGCGTTTCATCACCAATCGAGGTGCGAGCTTGGCAGCTTGTAAGCGTTTCATCACCAATCGAGGTGACACTATCTGCCGTCCCCGCGAAATGTTAACAAGCTAATTGTCAAGCTCGCTCAACAAGTCAGCAGCTACCTAATCAATCGCCAAAACAAACCGTGCCCTACTCATCGAAATCAACCCGTGATACAGCAGGTAGTATTTAGTTGGACAGAGATCAAATGTTTTGTTGACCGATGCTACGGTTATAGAGTCATGGTTATCATGGCAGTCCATGAGATCCGTCGTCAAAACTCATCAAGGATGTGCGTTCCAACAAAAGCATTGTTATGCAAAGTGCCCTGTTCATCTAGATGACGGTTCACGCAAGAAATAGTCTCTCTTCCTAACCACAAAAGACAGATTTGTGTATTGTCTGAGAGAGAAGAAGGGTCATCAGTTTCGCGTATTCTGATTTCTCGCTATGTATTTTCAATACAATCATTTGAAGGTCTTGACGAACATTGTACAAGCTTGTATTAGTTAGAGAGAAAAGTATGAATCCAACCGAATCTCGTGGTCATGATAACCTTGATTTAATCTGACGTTGTTTTGGTTGGAACTTCTGGAGCAGTACTGACTTATTGTATTCGAAATCAGCATGAAGACCTCCAGAAGTTGCTTTTTGTGAAGAACGTACGCTTAATTGTTTTAAAGCTAGCACTAAGTCCCTCCCCCGTCCACCTTTGCTCTTTTCTTTACAATACGGCTTTCAAATAAACCATAGTTGTACAGCAGTGAAGCGTTGGTGTTGAACACTGATGTCATGCTGTCGATGATGATGACGATGATAATTGTTTTTAGACGTTGGTTACAATATTTTGGAAAACATTAAAAACAATAAAATGCTCACCTAACTGTCCTTGACGAACATCAAACCTCGAAGCACCCCCGGTAATGAACTCCGGATTCTGACATATTTCCTGCAAAATACATTTAGCGACAGATCAGAGCACGGTGTCTGATAGGAACTTACAACAGTTAATTTATCGCGTCTAATTAAATAGAGCCTGGAAAACCGTATGTATTTGGCAAAAATAAAATGCGTTTCAGATTCGGAGGTTCTTTGTTCGCAGTGAGGTAAAATGCCAGTGACTAAAAGCTGAAACATTTCATTCCGTTTTGGTTTAACCGGCTGTCAGGGGGCCACCAAAAGCCTTTTTGTTGCTTCACAGTGACACGTGAATTTTGAGTGTATAGACTGGCTCCTCAGTCATGATAAATGTTCCCGCTTGACAACACTTTTTGCGGACATCTAGGGCAATGTTTCCGTTCTTTTTACGGTTGTTTACAGTGACAAAATAAATATCCCCGGGCTAAGGTGTTTATGTAATTTCGAGAGAATTCCACGAGCTTCACGTGAGCTGCTTGGTGGAAGGTTTTTGAGTCCTCTATATCCATTCACTCCTGTTTAGATTATGACAAACCATTGCCTATGGCACGACCTCTCACGATTTATCTCTACTTGCCAGTGGAACGTTCGTCCTGTAAGTGAAGTCATTGTGTGTAAAAAGTCGATGAGCACCTTACAGTGGTTTCACTCGTACTTGAAATTATCAGCGATGCGCAGTTCCCAAGTCTCTTGGTGACGTGAACCTGCAACCTTCCAGGAATTATTTGAAAACTAAATCTTTTGACCATAAGTGGCTGATGGGCAGTGCGAGTAACTTGCACCTTGCTGTTTGTGCTCACAATTATCAAATGAGCCGCCTAACGAAGAAAGACGTCGCTTTGCAATCCCTAATATATAAAAGTGTAAACTGCCGTCCCCGCGAAATGTTAACAAGCTAATTGTCAAGCTCAGTGAACAAGTCAGCAGCTACCTAATCAATCGCCAAAACAAACCGTGCCCTACTCATCGAAATCAACCCGTGATACAGCAGGTAGTATTTAGTTGGACAGAGATCAAATGTTTTGTTGACCGATGCTACGGTTATAGAGTCATGGTTATCATGGCAGTCCATGAGATCCGTCGTCAAAACTCATCAAGGATGTGCGTTCCAACAAAAGCATTGTTATGCAAAGTGCCCTGTTCATCTAGATGACGGTTCACGCAAGAAATAGTCTCTCTTCCTAACCACAAAAGACAGATTTGTGTATTGTCTGAGAGAGAAGAAGGGTCATCAGTTTCGCGTATTCTGATTTCTCGCTATGTATTTTCAATACAATCATTTGAAGGTCTTGACCAACATTGTACAAGCTTGTATTAGTTAGAGAGAAAAGTATGAATCCAACCGAATCTCGTGGTCATGATAACCTTGATTTAATCTGACGTTGTTTTGGTTGGAACTTCTGGAGCAGTACTGACTTATTGTATTCGAAATCAGCATGAAGACCTCCAGAAGTTGCTTTTTGTGAAGAACGTACGCTTAATTGTTTTAAAGCTAGCACTAAGTCCCTCCCCCGTCCACCTTTGCTCTTTTCTTTACAATACGGCTTTCAAATAAACCATAGTTGTACAGCAGTGAAGCGTTGGTGTTGAACACTGATGTCATGCTGTCGATGATGATGACGATGATAATTGTTTTTAGACGTTGGTTACAATATTTTGGAAAACATTAAAAACAATAAAATGCTCACCTAACTGTCCTTGACGAACATCAAACCTCGAAGCACCCCCGGTAATGAACTCCGGATTCTGACATATTTCCTGCAAAATACATTTAGCGACAGATCAGAGCACGGTGTCTGATAGGAACTTACAACAGTTAATTTATCGCGTCTAATTAAATAGAGCCTGGAAAACCGTATGTATTTGGCAAAAATAAAATGCGTTTCAGATTCGGAGGTTCTTTGTTCGCAGTGAGGTAAAATGCCAGTGACTAAAAGCTGAAACATTTCATTCCGTTTTGGTTTAACCGGCTGTCAGGGGGCCACCAAAAGCCTTTTTGTTGCTTCACAGTGACACGTGAATTTTGAGTGTATAGACTGGCTCCTCAGTCATGATAAATGTTCCCGCTTGACAACACTTTTTGCGGACATCTAGGGCAATGTTTCCGTTCTTTTTACGGTTGTTTACAGTGACAAAATAAATATCCCCGGGCTAAGGTGTTTATGTAATTTCGAGAGAATTCCACGAGCTTCACGTGAGCTGCTTGGTGGAAGGTTTTTGAGTCCTCTATATCCATTCACTCCTGTTTAGATTATGACAAACCATTGCCTATGGCACGACCTCTCACGATTTATCTCTACTTGCCAGTGGAACGTTCGTCCTGTAAGTGAAGTCATTGTGTGTAAAAAGTCGATGAGCACCTTACAGTGGTTTCACTCGTACTTGAAATTATCAGCGATGCGCAGTTCCCAAGTCTCTTGGTGACGTGAACCTGCAACCTTCCAGGAATTATTTGAAAACTAAATCTTTTGACCATAAGTGGCTGATGGGCAGTGCGAGTAACTTGCACCTTGCTGTTTGTGCTCACAATTATCAAATGAGCCGCCTAACGAAGAAAGACGTCGCTTTGCAATCCCTAATATATAAAAGTGTAAACCTCGCTCAAAACAGGAGCGAGTGAAACGTGTGCCAGACTTGATGGATGGGGAGATATGAAACTTCCTGAGCCAAAATCACTCAAAGTACTCCTTCTGGATCAAGAATTTGTGTGTACTAACAGGAATAAAACAAACAAAAGATATTTGGCCGAAGGTCCCCTTAACCTAAATTTTTATTGGGCGTTTTTAAAGTTTTCAGAAGAATCAAGTTTGAAAAAAATAGAGAATGGGATGTGTGCCCTGCACCGCTTACAGCGTGCTTCATGAGACTGTAACATATGTACAATGGACTGTTTTCCTATGGCCGTGATCATCTGTTCCGTTCAGCATTTTCAACAAAGTGAACACCGATTTTTCACTGCGGCTTTTCGAAACAATACTCTCATATATTCGCCTGGTAAGAATAGGGAAGAAAACCGCGCCTCACTTGCTTGGTTGTGTAACATAACCAGATGTGAGTTCTGCCTGGATAATTGAATGACGACAGATTCAGGGCCAAAAACATAGCATCACTACCTTGATATATACCGATTGATCTCTGAAGTTGTCTGAGTTTCTCAACCATGGTAACCAGTCTTCCGTGCAGTGCTGTGCTTCTATCTACACGGTCCTCCACAGGGCAGAAGGCTGACAGTCACCAAGTTTGAGGGCGTAAATAAAAGTACATTCCAGTAGTAGTGATTGTACTTTTCAGAATCACCTAAACCTGTCAAGTAGCGGAGCTACCGAACGATCTGTCAAGGCGACGGTACGTGATCTGAGCTTCTATGAACTAATTAGCGGACAGTAAACAGTTGGGATAGACTGAATAGAACTGCGTGACCAGGTTTTATTTGCACATGTTTGCTTAACCCTGTATGTTGACTGTGTCAGGGACTGACTGTAGTGCGGCCTAGTTATCCAGATAGCTTGATGTTTCAAAACGTTCTTCAGTTCCTTCTAACACTTTATTGCTGTTTCCTTGGTTCGCCCACGCTGAACTGACGGCGTTTAATCACATTTTTGGTGGCAGTTACCGTGTTTCGTACTCCAGTGAAGATGAATCCGCAGTGCTCATACACCCAAAATGACCGTCTTGCAGTAGTTGGAATGAATCAACTAGATTCAATCAAACCTGATAGAATGGACCCTCAGAATGAGCAGCTGCAAATATACGTGGATCAGATGACTCCAATCGACAAAGGTTTTGCGCTGGAAAGAAAATGTATAGGAACTATTTGGCTTTTATGATTTGTCAGACTACATTCCACCGTCAATGGCGTTCGAAAGTGAACTACACTCACAGTCAATAAGTCTGTGTTGAGCCATTCGTTCTTTGCCGGACTTGGACCGGGTTTTTCAAACTGGCAGCGAAACAAGCAAGCCATAAATTATCTGTTCTATCACGTAAGACAGTCTAGCATTGGACCAACTAACCTTTGTGGGGGAAAAACATCTAAGTGGTTAATAGGCATATCTCGCCCAAAATTATTCAGATGTATCCTACTGCTTATACACATGATACTTACATGTGGTCGAAGCCACTGGATTGGTCGTGGTGGCGGCTGGCTGTAATATAAGCTACTATCGACCGGAGGAAACTCTGGATCTTCAAACAGACGTCCTTGTTGAAGCAATTGTGCCTTCAGTTCATCATACGATTGTGTAGTTGAAGCGAGAGCACCACCTCTCGTTACTGGAACTGGTTTTTTGGCGGTCTCACCGGCGTCAAAGGGAAGGACAACCTTGTTGTCTTTAGCTTTGCGTAGGGCTATTCGAGGGTCTTCGAAACGCGGAAATTTGAATATCATGCCGGACCTGTAATGTCGACTGTCTCCCGTGATGAGAGTCTGTATGGTTGCAAGGAAAGCAGATCAATATGCACGGAAGATCAATAATATATAAAAGGAGCATCAACTAGCACGGGGAGTGAACGTTTAATGTGTACAAAGTTACGGCACAGTACACAGTTACAACGAGGAAGTCAACAACGGGTTTTGACACTAACGAGAAGAGACATCGGTGATAATGTAACAGATTTATTGTTATTATTTGTTATACTACAACAAATTACCGTCAACAACTGTATCTCCATTTCTGAGCTTTGTCAATGAACCCAATGCCCTAACTCCTGTGTTCATTTTCGCCTTCCGAACTTCACACACATGGAACAGTCTAAGCTAATGACGGAACTGATTATCCCATGAACTTTCAACGAAGACCATTTTGCGGCAGAGACTGTGAATCCAATTATTTTGGAAATTGGCGGGCTCAAAGGATGTTGCAGCATATATCTGTGGTCGATTTATGAAGACTAGCTGTTCAGTTTATGCTTGGATGCAGATGTCTACAAAAATAAATCGTTGACGATGTGTTTCCACATGAGGAATTGTTACTGCCATACTACCAAAAGGCCGTGTAGAAGCATTTCGTTCCCGTTTGACACTCAAATTTTACTGAAAAATTCAACTATCTGCCCCACCCCCGCATGCGACGATTACAACAACCTGACACGACGGACAAGACAAATAAGGCAGAAAACACTCAGTGGTAGTTCAAAACAACCATTCGAGGACTATTTTGATAGACTAAATGGGACTACGGATATTTAACTGATTCACTCATCTTCATACTAATTTTGTGTTGACAGGATACTTACCTAGAACCCAGCTAAATCCCTCGTTTATGATGTCCTAATGAGTAGTATGTTAAATTTACGCAATATATTGCGATATCTTGAATATCGTACCAATCGAAACGTGAGCAGCTTGGTGTAGCACAATCAGTTCACAAAAAATCATAATCGAAAGATCCAGCCGGTATGGGGTGGGCCATCCGTCAAAACCAAATTGGTATGCAGATGAATGTAATAGTCGAACTTCGCAAAATTGGGTTCAAGTCGAAACTTGGAGACTGTGTCTATCTGATGGGCCCAAAGAAAGGCGAAACCGGACATGCGCCTTACGAGTAGTGTACTACGTCTAAATAGAAAGCACAGATTATTGTAACGGCCATTACCAGGAATTCTCTGATGCCACGCCAGTTTTTCTGGATTATACAAAGCCCAGACGGGGGTAACGTCCAGCAGAACTTGAAGTACCATCACACGTAGCATATCCCAAAAAATTCGGTATTTAGCTTGTCAAAATTTACTGTTTGTTGTCGATCGTGGGTAGCTTCAACTCACAGCAGTCATGAAAACATCTTACTGCCTCGTAAGAGTAAATCATATCAGGGTGAACTAGGCTAATTTTTTCACCATCGTTATTGCAAGAAATTTGCGTGAAAAATGGTGCACTTTTCTGGTGAACCACTGCACACTGCAACGTATTAGTCTGTACGGGCTGAAAACAGCAATATAATGGATTTGCACGCGTCTTTTTGCAGTAAAACCCTAAAACCGGTTGACAAAGGTACTTACGTTGAGTACTTCGGCACCCACCGTTGTGATCTGGAGTATAAGATGGGATAAAAGTGTGGTTTATACAAATGATTGGGTGCGAGGTTCCGACGGGCCGATAGAGTTCAAAGTTGGGCACAATTTAGGGAACTCCATTCGCTACAGTAACCTGCTTCCAAACATTGGAATCTGACAGTAAGGGTCAGAAAACGTAAGTTGTTGTTACACGAGCAACATACCCCGCGAAAGTGGACGTGTTACATGAACTATCAACCCATAGTAGTGGTCACAGATCCGTATTATTGTTACTTGTTCAAAGTCGTAGATCTAACCTGAACATCTGAGTTGTGTTTTACTCTACTATTGGAGTGGATGAAAGCCAGCTTGATAGACGTTATCATGAAACCGTGACTGCCTACACGATTCACCAAAGTACGCAGGAATTTACAGCGCACTCTTTATTCTTGCTGCCTAGGTAATCCGATTACACTGATATTGCGTACGTATTTCAGTAAGACATAATGATCGATACTCGACGAAATGTCTCTGGAAGACCCTTGATATAGAGGAAGGAAAGATCGAACAGCGACTGTTAGTCCTTTGATGGTCTTAGCAAACAGACGTTGTACTCCACAGACCATCATTATTAAATCCCAAGTCTAAGGAACGTTTAGCGTTTTGATGACATTTGAAGAGGTATTTTGTGCACTTTTGCCATCTTCAGATAAACACAAAACAACTTTGGCAGCAACCTCTCCAATTTCGCTCTCCACAAACAAACCTTTTCATCAGGATAAGACTATTCTCGTCTGTTTCCTAATCTATTCGTTAAGTTGTTGCGGATTACTTGCTTCGTTTTAATATCTTTACGATGCTTATGCCTTCCCGTCACTTGCTTGAAAGAACACAGTGGTATTTCATGGAACGTCTGAGTTAGGCTCGCGGTATGCAGGTGCTTCGAAGATCTTCCCAATTTTACACAACTTCTTTCATTTTACTTTATCCTAAATGATGCTTGTTTCTGCCAGAACCGCGTACTTGCTGTACAATGGTTATAGCTGCCACAGTTTCGTTTACCGATGATTTTGGAAGGTGAGGTAGGTAGCTGCGCAGTGGAGGCGGGAGCTGATGGATACAAGACTGTCAGTGGACTGTCAAGTGGGGGATTGGGAAGGGAGTTGATCTAAACACAAGTGAAATACAGACGCTGGTATGCTATAAGCTACCTTCAGGGAAGTTCTCTCCTCCCTACTTGACTGGGCATCCAATTTTGCGCTCGATTCATCGCGGAGTACGTTCCACTGAGCTAACCAGGACTATTTCACCACCTCACTAGGTTATGTATCTTCTACGTGTCTTGCGTTTAGGATTAAGCAATCAAAGTGTACAAAGCCATTCTTGGCTTTCATTGTCTCTGCTATGTCAGCCGTAGTTGTGAGTCAAAATACACTGTTTCTATGGCATGTCTTAAAACGACCCCTGCACGAACAGTAAAACAAGAGAGATATCTTAAAAGCCAGTCAAAGAACGGTTCACTGTCAGAAAACACCGCTACCCTCACCCAATATTATATCATTCTCCTAGCTTTCTACAGTTTATTGATATTGTAGCACAGTTTTTTTCCATTGTGAAATAGTTCCTCATGCTGAAAACCTACCTAATCAGGAAAATCCACCGAACAGCTCTGAAGCTCTAGCTTTACTACATTGGCGTCATAGTGTGGTTCATTGGATATGTGGACATTCTAAATCCTTTACAGAAGCAACCGATTAAAGCCCAACATGTATACTTTTCCGCAAACAGAATAGCATGCCTTTAAGCAAGTGTGTGACTGTGATTTGTTCTGTCAGAACATCGCTTTGTCACTAGCAGTTCTATCTGATTCAAACCGTCGTAAAGATTGAAGTATCTTACAGTCACGCTGAAATTTCCATGATAACCGGTGTGTCCATAGTTAGGCCAAACGTTTAGCAAGTCTATGTTTGGCCAGTTACCGTAAATTGTTTAAGAACAAAGTCATAACTTTGGGTTTTTACAAAGAGAGTTTAAGAAATTCCGTCAACAATCAAAGATGATAAGAACTTGAGTGCTTGCTGTGCAAACATCTAAGGAGGTTGTCAAGGTGCCTTCCAGACTCATGCAAATGAGACAGAGGATGAAAACTCGATAAAAACAAAAAGAAAACAGAGATAGCAATTCAAAAGGCCAAACTGAAACCCACAAGAATTGCAAAAGTTGTACAAATGATGCTGCTTTTTGAGGATACTGTCTGTGGCGCTCAAAAGTCATCAAGTTATCCCAGTTAATGGACAAATGTGGTGTTAAAATCAAAAACTGGTTTTCTGGTGGCTCCTATCCAAGCGTGAAGGGCCTTATAGCGGCTCAGTCCTAGTGTCTATTGTGGTTGCATGACGGTCACTAAGTGAAAAGACTGTACAGTTGAACAATCTAACTTCATTCATTATGGAGAAGTTAATTTGTGAGTAAACATTTTTGGTGCTTCCCACATTCATGTTTCCTTTCACAATTGTGACTGAATCACGATGCTGCAAATAGCAATTTTTAAAACTTGTTTTTTAGAAAATTATCTTTTGAAGCCAATCAAATAAACAAGGTTACTAAAACGGTACTGGATGAAAAACTCTTCCAATTTGAATGATAAACTTGTACTACACGAAGCCGATGGCCAGTGACCACGAAATTCAAGTAAAAAATGGAACTGCATAGAAGCGACCAAATTTTTATTTCATTGGTATTTCTTTTTTGGTTTGCGGACAAGTGTGATTGGTTGAACTGGTAGGTTTTCTGTCTATTTTGTAAAGCATATACGATGAGATGAGTCAGAGTCTTGTGTAGGTTTACAAGTATTTTTCTCCACCACAGTCTTTTAAGTGGGAAGGTTGAGGTTTCGGTTATAAGGTATTCCAGTGGGTGTGCGATTGATGGGACTTGGGGAAAGTTTTCATGAATCAATCACCTGGTTAAACAACAAACACCTATGGAGGCTGCAGCAGCCGTAAGCGGACACTGTATGAAAGCACAGTGCAAATGTTCTCAGTGTGATTTCAAAACTAAAAATCAAGTTTATCTAACTGGATTAACCATGCGGGTTTTCCAAAGTTCATTTATTAGAGCGAATCAATTAACTTCAACAAACCGCCGAGCGCATCTTTACACTGAATTTTGTGTCCATGGCTTGGCGTGAGGCTGAAAGATTTTGGAAGCAAGTAGCACTAAGCAGATCTCTCTAGGCACTTTTCACTTTTACTTCGAAAGAATAGTGCTGGCTTCATCACATTCAAAAGCTATAGGTACAAATCATCTGTTTGAATTTTCAAACAGAATTTGGCCGGCGAGGAACACTCTTTCCTATCCACCACCAAGAAAACATAATACTGGGTGCTTTTACTTCAAACGTAAGTAAATTTCCTGTCCAATTGATTGCGCTTTTGTTAGTTTAACTAATAAACCCTCTGAAACCCCTTCTTCTTACTCTACAAAACATCCAATTGCCTTCACATTTGTTACTTCTAATAGATTATTAGTAATATTGGTCTTTGAATTAGGAACTCATGCAACTGGCACACAAAAACAGCAATATAGAACCCCTTGTGTTACCGAAAAGTAAAAAACGATCTTCATGAGTTGAGGAAGAGATGCGCAAAATTACAGACAGTAGAAGCCTTAAACGTTCTTCTTTTGATTATCACTCAAATTAGTCCAAGACTTTTCACAATTTGGTAATATGAATCCAGCTAACCAAATGTCTCCATTGTTTACCATCGCTTAGGAATATTTCTTATGTTAACTTGCTGAGAAAACTTCGGGAGACTCAAACAAAATCAACAGATTGTGGATTCTGACGAATCGGTTTTGAAATTTTTTGGCAAACTCTTGTTTAAGGTACTTCATCTTTCAAAACGGTAGTTTTACCCACAATTCATGATTTATCTTAGATGTGCTTCTTATTTGGTGTAAGACTATGGTTTAACATTATCCATGTTAACGAAAAGTCAAGTTTTGTACTTCCACTGTCACAAGAATTCCAAAAATAACCACAGTTTACCTAAGTTACAGGCAAAATTAAACCTCAGTTTGCAGCTAGTACTCATGTGTCATAAAACTAGCGCCTCAAATCTATAGTTTAGCTAGGATAAAAACGATCTCCTGCCTGGAAACTATCAGGACTCAAAGGTTGAAGCGTTAATGAATTGCATGGTGAGCATTCTCGAGAGTCAAATCAGCGCCAAGATATTGGTATTGTAAAGCTACTATGTGATCATGTTCATTTACTTCAGCAGAATTCCGCAGTCAAGATAAAAAACAGGAGAAAACAGTCTCATAACCAACAGTCTCTGTAGTGGTTGAATTAGGGATGCGATGAAAAGAGACGAAGGACCAAAACAAAAAAAAAAACAGTCTCAAAACCAACAGTCTCTGTAGTGGTTGAATTAGGGATGCGATGAAAAGAGACGAAGGACCAAAAAGTCAAGTCTAGCAAAAAACAACATGGCTGATTCAGACTGGTAGTGAGTTACGACGCGAGTAGGAAGCCCACTCAAATTGCTGTAAGAAGGTTGCTGCAAGCTCAGAGACGCAAACCGTTCGCGAGGGTTTAGGCTGCGTAGACCTTTCCTGCATTTAATGGCTTTCGTTTGTGTCTGATCCAGGTTTTTCCACGACGCTTGAACTACGGGGTCTAGGTCTGCACCAAATGCTCTTGTCTCATCTGAACTTGCTTTGCTTTAAAATTTTGTCCACATCCAATCAAGTTGTTCTTTGTGTGCACCAGCATTCCTGCTACTCAGGTGATTTTTCCTTGGATATATGCCCCAGATCCTATGGTTTGTCTTCTAGGTATTTCTATCCAGAAATAGATTTTATACCGCCCCCATATAGCTCTATTCGGCCTTTTGAACGACAGAAACACTTGTACTGAAACCAAGTCGCATTTAATACTCAGATTTTAACGCCGTTAACCTATCGGTTACTTCGGCACACAACCTTACACCTCTGTCTGCAACCCAGTAACGATAGATTCTTCGTTGTTTTATAGAATACAGCGGACTTTGTGTGTCCCTATAGACTAGGTATTGGGTAATCCCACCCATCATCCCTGGAATCCTGGATTTCATCAAGTGAGGAATAAGTAAGATTTTCCATCTCAGAGTCGGAGTTACCCAGCCATTGCAAAATTTCGATCGAGTCCTTCTTGTATTGATCGCATTCGCTGTCGATTTCACGGGAAATTGTTCACCGAAACAGATCCCAACGAAATAACAAGCAGGGATAATTCGTGATGCCCAGAGACCCGAAAACTGCCAGCGTTATCTTACACGCTTTTTGTTATTTAAACCGAACTAGATAGGTATGTTTGTGGAATTTCTCCTACTAAATCCCTCTTCTTTAAAAAATATCAGCCTGGAATGTTATGACCAGTGTACACTGGCATATAATTGCGATTGAAGCACGTACAGTATAGCGCTACAGTAGAAACTTACTCACCACGGAATTCAAATTACTCTTGAACGAGAGCTTCGTTCCCGACAGAAAGTCGTTCATCTTTCGGGCTTGGGCTTTTGTAAAATAGGCTGTTAATGTTAATGAAAAATTGAGTCATTAAAACAAAGCACTCTAGATTTGAGCGCAAATGTAAATACAAACACTGATGTTACTACTATTTGCAGACATCCCTTCTGTAAGTTTAGATCCAGTCAAATATATTTTCTTGTCGGCTGTGGTGACTCCGTGTAGGCCATCAAAATTTACCTCTTCATTGTTTCCACAAAATATAGCATTTCTGGTGCCCATGTTCAGTATCGAACTATTATAGTATTCTGCACCAGGGAGACGATGGTGGATGGAGTGCTAACTTTTGCCTTATGTGGTGGGGACAAATGGAATGATCTACTTCAAATCCGTTCAGTGAGGCTGCAGGTTGCCAGAAAAACAAACAGAATCGACTCACAAAAGAAGGCTGCAACAACCTCAGTAACCTGCGCGTTTGCCTTCGCTAGACACGTTTAGGGCGAGTCAGCCTGGGGTACGCTTTTTTGGTGACAGAAAGGCAGAGGGAAATTTACAGTTCGGGGCGTGGAAAATGAAAAACTAAAGGGTCCTAAGAGTAAAAGCAGAGAAGTTGAGTGTAGTGCGGGTATAAATTCAGTTCCCATCGGGTGCATAGTGTCCTCGGAAGGGACCCAGAATGACTTTAGTCTATACGGATCCCAAGTGATCCCTAAACTTTCTAACGGTGCGAGCTGAGTCCACTCTCTTGGGCAGCATATTCCAGCTTTCGGTAGCCGTAAACCGAGACAGATTATTGCTTTTGGATTTCTAATGTCCTCCCGTCATCAGCTACCGTCCATTGGGCCATCTTAATTGCACCTTGCTCGGTCTTGTTATGCCGCTTTTTATCATACTTGTCGAAGGCACCAACTGGTCGTCTTGAACATTGCCCACGCCCGCCGTTTTTTCCACGGGCTCTTCAGGCATGAACATTTCGGGGAAGCTTTCTTCATGGGTGGTGCAGTCTTCTCTGAGTGGTGGCCCACCAAGATTCAGGCCGAGACCAGGCTCCATTCTATTTTCTGTTTTCATTGTACAAACAGTGTCTCATCCAACAGGGCAAATCATCTCCACTTATCTGGTGCCTTCTTCCATGACACGTTGTTTCAGCCGAAGAGCACCGAAATCAATCTTCAAGTGTGAGGGCATTTATGTCCCTCACGGAACCCCTCAACAAATCAAGATCCACGGGTATCGGTGACCCGCGCCTGCGTTGGTTCATTTATTACCCCAGTAGGATGGTCCGGGTTGCTAATTTGATGGACTTTTTCTCACCACCACTTCCCTTCACCAGCGAATTTAATCAGAATAGCGTGCTTGGCTCCTGCCTTTCTTGTTTCACAGCAATAAAGCCACTGGCGTGATTGTCCAGTGATCCCCTTTCTATTTGCTGAAGATATCAATGTAGCATAGACATTCCAGGGCTAATGACTCAGCTTTTATCTTGCATCCAGTCTCATCTGATTTCTTTATCCTCCTTCCCGTCTAAATCTGATCTCTTTTTGTCGTTCCAAAATGCCAAGCCCTCTGGGTGTCCATGCTAGGTTCCGCTGAAACGCTTATTCTCTATGGACTGTTGATTCTCACTTCTCCTGAAGTAAGATACCTCGTTCTCAAGCACTCAAGCACCTTCATCTTTCACCAACATGCGTGTTACAATGTTTAAAGCATGGAATCCATGCCCTTTTGTTCGCCGTTCATTGCACAGCAAACGGTTTTCAGTTGCCATCTTTCGGCAGGTAGCAAGACCCATTCTGGAAATTAGCCATGAATTCACTTCAAGGTATTTACGGACATGCGGACTGCTGTGTAGAATGTTCAGCCGTTATTTACTAAGTCCCTGTTTCCGACGTCGTCCTCACTACCATATTGTCCTTGCCGTCTGTCACTCATTCTATGGCTTGATCACTTCTACCAACGTGCTTACACAGCCGACTCCCGCCATGCGGCTTCTTCTGGCTTTCTGCGGCTCAGTCTTTGTTCATGTTTTCAAAATATTAAACTGTCTTCCGACGTAACGTTTTTAATTGACTATATTCCGACCTACCGAACAACCCCCTCTCCAATTTCCGGACCATGTCCTCCTACAATGGCTTTTGCAGCATCCTGGAATTTGACGTTGCTATTAAGGGAACCGAGTGTCTTCTCGTGCCACAACCTACATTACACTTTTTAAAAGCAGCTCTAAGCATTTCTAGGTTGCGCTTTCGCCACATTTGTCGCGTTACTTGGTCAAAGCATCTTTATTTATCGCCGTGGACCCTTTAATTTCAACCCACATATCGTGTTCTTGGTAAGTTATCGCTCCCCTACCTATCTCTTATAGAGAACTCTATTCCTGGGGCTGCATTTCGTTCTCTCTCTGAATTTCCCATCTGCTGCTATTTTTCCTTACCTTCTGCCATGAGGTTTTTGCCCGGGCGGCTCGTACTTCCATCCTCTAGGCCGGGAACCACCGTAAGTTCAGTCCAGTGTCTGGTGTTTTGTTTCACCGAGAACTAGCTAATGCAGACCAAAACAGCCCCATATTTCATCATGAGAAAGAGCCGTACCAGTTCCTTGGATTACGCGCGGTGCACGCATGCAACAAACGTTGGTCGGAAAAGCCACGTCCCAGATACACACTCAAAATTTCTCTGAAGCCGTGGTTCAAAAAGGGGAAGCTTGAACAAAAAGTTTTAGCATCTAATGCTTATTCTTCGAGCCCTTAGGAACTCTCCACGGGGCCACAGTTTCATAAAAAGTTGTTTAAACAAACTCGGAGTTCATTGTTGGCGCGGAATTCCTATTTTAAAGGCTGCCGGTAATTTTGCGCATTCACTCCATGAAAACGGCGGAAACTTTTGTGGGAAAGCTGGTTACTTGGCGTGTTTTCTTAGGTGCTAGACTTGGAGGTAATATCAGAACGACTTGGACAATAATCACACCCATTACGTCCAGGCAAACTCAAATTGAAGCGGCCATTCGCGACCTGAATACAAAAAATTCTTCTTAAGTTGAGGCAAGCGTCTCGCCGAAGCCAAGAAATTCATCACAGTTAGTAATGTTTTTGTTTAGCATGACGGTCAGTGTACGTTATATTTGACTTAAGGCAAGTTTAGATCTTCGCCAATATATCGAGTCACCAATGGTGCCCTGGATGAACTATTGGGCTTGTGGGCAGAACAAGCAGACGGTACAATAAGACGGTCACTGCTTTCAAGTCCTTGCATAAATTAAACTGAAACGATATTGTGGGTAGCAGCCTCGTCTGGAAAATGTTAGAGATATAGTGAACCACGGGAAAACCACCAGACTGAGTTTGGTAGTCGCGGTACCATGATAGTAACGCCGTGGTTGGGTTCTCGGACGGCCCCGTATATGAACATCTTCAGAAAGCCGTTAGGGGTTGTCACTGTAGTTAGGATATTCTTGAGTCCGTCGGGGGTTCCTGGTGGTTCATTACCGTCGATCAAATTAGGTACTAAGACAACCTGTCTGCACTGGAAACTCAAGATAGAAGAGGCCGTGGGTAAGTGTTGGAAGCAGAAGCACAATGAGTTGTACACAAGATGCCTTTTGGGCCGATAAGGGCTGCTCCTAAAGTGATTATAATAATAAACCGGATAATACCTCGGCAAAAAACCAGCAGACTCGCGGATTGATGATATCTTGTATTGAAGATGTGAAGGTCACAAGTGTAGGGCGATGGCAAAATGTCTCCGGGGAATACGCTGTTTGTGAGTATACTGTCATTTATGGATAGAAGATAATGAGAGCGGCGAGCCTTTTGTCATGGTTAGGGAATATTGGGCACTCTGGGTTTGTAGGTTAGTTATCCGTTCGCCCGAGTCATCGCCCGTCTTCCTCATGTACTTTCTTAGCTAACTGGTAGCCATGGAAGCACAAATGATTTGATGGAACTGGAGAATGCTTCATCCGATACCCGCACGATGACCGTAACCGGTCCGTCCGACAATCTGATGATGAATTTTTTATTAGCCTCGAGAAGAGCCGTGATTTTGCGAGGAGAAAGAAATGAGCCGATAAGCCATGGGTTTTAGGGTGCGGTCTGCGCCAGATCTGAGACTATCGACAAAAATTTTGGGGCGTGGAAAGAAGTGGACAGCCGAGAACTCAGGGAGTGTGGTCGGTCAGATCACACACCCGTGAAGGGGACTGTGATGGCAGTATCCATCAGTGTTCCGACAGCGCAGTATGTTGTTCCAAAAAGGGAGCCACTCTGTTCCTATGAAACCACCTGGATAAATGATGGCACTGCAAGTCATTAGCTAGATGCTGCTGACATACGCCGCGGTAGCTGTTGTCAAGGTCATTACCTGAATAATAATGGACACTGAGTACGCCGGGCCTTATGATGGTTATGAGGTTGTTCAGGTTGCCGGAAGAAGTGCGATCTGAGGAAGTTAAAAGACGAAACAACATGAACTAACTTCAACAATATTACTTCATGGTCCATGATGACGGCATTTAACCGTCCGCACTATACAGCCTCTGAAGTTTTGTTTTGGACGTTCTTGCGGATATTCTGATTGCCGGCATACTCGTACACACGACCAAACCAATAACAAAATCGATTCAACGGGTGTGGAATTATAAACTGGTGGACTGAACAGTAAATAACGCAACTTCACGAATATGTACCTGTTATGGCTAAACGCAAGGCATAAGTCAATGATTTGACGAAATTAGGAGAAACAACCAAAATGTGATTTTAACGCCTTTAACGATAGGTTCAGTGCCAAGATAGCATGTAGTCTGTGACATAGGAAGCAGTATCTTCATCCAGCTGGCGGACTTCGCGCGAAGCGAAGGAACATGAGCTATGATTAATCCCCAAACAGCTTTACTGAGCCCCGAAAATCCTCACAATGGAGACGCCATTGGTACGTAATAATGGTACTTTTCTCATGGTGACTTGTTGTGATGATCTACGCAAACCCTGACTTCGGCAGCACAAATGCTTATCGTGGAGAACTGACAAATTAAAATCCTTAGTCCTCTCGCTCATTAGGTTATCAAACTACGTCACACCCCAGATAATTCTTGGAATGAAATAAGGGTACGTATGTTTGAACGGACAGTTGAATTCATGGCAAACATCTTTAGATACAAACCCGACGCAACGTGCAACCCGTAGCCTAAAAACGATTCTTCATTGTTACGGGATACACGCTTTGCTGCGTTGCCGGCTGGTCGCGCTGTAATTACCGTCTAAAAAGACTTTATGTGGATACAGCGTCGTATACTTGGACTGTCATAGTTGGAGTCGGCACGTGAAATTTGCTTGTTAAGCGCTGGAGTATCTCTGGAGCACTCGCCTCAAATTTAAGGAGAACCAAATTTGAAAGATAACACGACGTTACAGTGGTATCCTTCGAATGACGGTCTTATCAGCAATAATTCGACCACAAGTGCGTATCAGACCAACATACTGCACCGTGGCGACAGGAAGTCTAGAGTTAAGTCCCGGGTGGACTTAAGTAAGAGCTCTCCACTTTGCGAAGGCTGTTAGCTGCAGCTTCTGCCCCAACCACCGAATACAAATGAAAGGGAGGTGCAGCCAAACTTAAAGAAACAGGAAGCCACCAGCCTTATGTCAAAGTGATTCAAGATAGCTATCTCGCAAAACAGAAAATTTCAGCGACGCCCAATTCCTTAAAAAGAGCTTATAAAACAAAAGAGATATGGACCTAAGCTATTTCTGTGATTGGAACAACAGCAGAACCCTAATAACCTCTGATTGGAGGTTAGGCCATGAGTGAACATTGGAGTTTACGGCCAGATATAGTAAGTAACGTTCTGGAATAATTGCATGGTTTAGATCACCACAACCGAGGGGCCAGAGTTCAAACAAGAAATGGCCGCCATAAACTAAGTAGTTCAGAAATTTTCTGTAGCACATGTTTGCTGATGAATTCATTGAATTATTGGCTTGCAGTCGGACAGCAAGAACTATCTAACAGTTTGCCAGTAACACACAACTCATTATCTTCTTAGCACATAATGCCTCGAGTCTTCATCTGAGAAGC